TTTATTACAGCTACTTTAAAAACAGTTTAATTTTACACAGGCTGGTGAAAATTGATTGTCGAATTTGCTGAATTTCGAACAGCCAAAACTTGGTTTTTCTAAATGGAACATACCGTATATTTAATCAAAAACTGTTGAAGATTTTACCCTCTATCTATTCATATTACACGTCCCTAGGTCTATCTTTCTTAATTTTTCTGTTATTGGCGGTTATTGTGATAAGTAGGTAATTAAAATGATTCATTTAGTGTGACGTCACATATTTAGGCAACCCGCAACAAATTGTCATACGCAGGTGAGATCTTGTTGATACATCGCTGTCATCATTAGCAGGAGAGTCAAGATAGCTTAAAATTACGCATTATTTCGAAATAATTATGGGAAGCATGGATTTTCCTAAAACCTTTTGAAATTACTTGGAGATAAGTTTTAGAAAAAAGTTATAAACTTATTTTTGTACGCTAATTGTTTTTTAATTGTTTAAACAATAATAAATAGTTTTTTAAGAACATTTAAAATAATTCAATGAATTTTAAATCGAATTCTTTCAAATTGACAATGTAGGGGTTTTCGATGTCGCTGAACAAGAATATGAAGTCGGAAAATGAAAATTCAAAACGGCTGATCCAATATGGCCGACTATTTTAAACAATTTATTTAACAATTATCGATTTTAAATGAAACTCGCTTATATTTATAATATAGGGGGTTTTTAACGTCGTTAAACAAGAATATGATGTCAAAAAATGAAAATTCAAAATTCCTTTAAGCCAATAAAATTGAAAAAAAATTTAAATACAAAATTACAAAATCAAAATGAACATCCCCTATTATTTATTTATTCATTAATTATTTTAAAAATGGATCAATATTCATATTACATATTAAACTCATGCATTTACCAGGTTTGGCATAAAAGAAAACGAATATAAATAAATACCTTAAATGCAAACTGAAGATTATTTGTAATATTAAGTAATACTATTACCAAAGTTTACAGAATAAATATTTATTCTGTAAACTTTGCTATTACATTAAAGAATTACAAGTGTACCAGAGTATAACCTCAAAATGGACAAAATATGTGAATAATACACTTAATTATTTAATTCTTATAAAAGAAAAACGCTTTTAAAATAAATAAAACTATAAGTAACAAAAAATATTTGGTGTGCTCACTGTTTAAAAAAAAACGTTATTTTTTTGCAGTTACCTATAACAATTTTCCACTTATTGCTATAAATAAAAAAAAATATTTTTCGCTGGGTTTACTATTTTTAAGGTCTTAACTTAATTCTTTGATGGTTTATTAAACAAAAAAATTTTTTGTACGTTATTAAACTTTATTTACCTAACAATAAATTTCACGGATTTTTTTTTTCATGAAATATTTTTATTTTTAAATTAAGAAAATGATGTTTCTTCAATTTAGTTCTTGATTTTCTTGGAATATTAGTTCATTGGGAATAATATATTCTCAGTTTGAGTATTTAACAGAGCTTAATTGAAATAGATCTGGAATTAAAATGAATACGAGGCTCACTATTTTCGATCCACTTGTTACTTGAAGGAAAGAAACTATCATTAAATTGGAAAAACGATGTTTCTTCAATTTAGTTCTTGATTTTCTTGGAATATTAGTTCATTGGGAATAATATATTCTCAGTTTGAGTATTTAACAGAGCTTAATTGAAATAGATCTGGAATTAAAATGAATACGAGGCTCACTATTTTCGATCCACTTGTTACTTGAAGGAAAGAAACTATCATTAAATTGGAAAAACGATGTTTCTTCAATTTAGTTCTTGATTTTCTTGGAATATTAGTTCATTGGGAATAATATATTCTCAGTTTGAGTATTTAACAGAGCTTAATTGAAATAGATCTGGAATTAAAATGAATACGAGGCTCACTATTTTAGATCCACTTGTTACTTGAAGGAAAGAAACTATCATTAAATTGAAAAAACGATATTTCTTAAATGTAGTTCTTGATTTTCTTGGAATATTAGTTCATTGGGAATAATATATTCTCAGTTTGAGTATTTAACAGAGCTTAATTGAAATAGATCTGGAATTAAAATGAATACGAGGCTCACTATTTTAGATCCACTTGTTTCTTGATGGAAAGAAACTGTCATTAAATTGAAAAAACGATATTTCTTAAATGTAGTTCTTGATTTTCTTGGAATATTAGTTCATTGGTAATAATATATTCTCAATTTGAGTATTTAACAGAGCGTAACTGAAATAGATCTGGGGAATTAAAATGAATACGTGGCTCACTATTTTACATCCACTTGTTTCTTGATGAAAAGAAACTAGCTTCAGTCTAAAAAGATATTTTAATTTCTCTAATAATATGATTCCTTTAACAATAATAACTAATTTTCTCCAGGAGATACAAATAAATTATTGATATAGAAATATCAGACAGGTACATTAATTTACATTGATAATATTTTCTTTATTAGTCTCTCTATATAAAAATACGAAAACATAATAAACTTACAAATTTATAATAATTAAAATATAACACTGAAGGAATCTTTTACAAGTATGTACCATCTAGCAAATTAATACAAACAAATAATTAAATGAAGTTTTAATAAAATGTCGGTTGCATCTTGCAAAGAATTGCCACCTTCCAATCAAAATAAATATGCATATTTACTTTATAAAATTATTATTCCGTAAAATATAAAATTTGATTCATTCCAAATTTATCGGGCGCACCCAGTAAAACCATTTACGTGGGACACTGCGTAGACTGAATGCAGGTGTGGGAGGGCACGGTGAAGTGCGTCGGCGCGTTTTGCGAAGTTAGCCGAGGCAACGTATTCTAGATGTTTCGTTTGTCTGAAGCTCGCGTATTTTCCTTTTCTGTTCAGCAGTTCGTACTTAACGTTTCGTTGTTTAGTTTAGCATTATTCGCCGCCATTTGCATTTTGCACATAGGTAAGTAACTGCATGTTGTAAATATACCTATGCATTGCAGAGTACAATAGCATTTATGTTTACAGCAAGAACGTCGGTTTTTTAAGAGTTAGAGTATAAAAGTGTACTTAATTAAGCTTTTTACAAGCAGTTGAAGCAAGTATGGAGCAATTACTAGATAACAGGTTGGAGACTTTCTAGTGAAACCGTGCAGATATTTTTAGGTAAGTGCAAATCCTGCTCTAATAATAAGACTTTTCGCCCTAAATTTATATTGTTAACTTTTTAACCCATCAGCTTCTAGTTATTTAAATTATCCGGAAAATCATTTTCAAAGATATTCATTTAATACATGAATTTCCCCAAGTGTTGTCATAAAAAAGTTGTCGCTTTTTATTATTTGAAAAACTACTTCAATTTGATTAAAAATTCAAATTTACTAAGTCAAATTTGCCCGTTTTGTAATATTTCCAATACTTTAACATTTATGCATTTCACAAAAATGAACTTGTGTATAGTTTTAACTATTTTCTGTATAACATTAGGCTTTGTTTGAGTTTGATTTATTTGGTTTTGTTTCATATACTGTTTTTTTTTTAGATTAACTTGGACTTTGAAAGAACTTTCCCAAACAGCGATATTGGCATTTTGGAACAATTTGGAATAATCGAAATATCCAATGTAAATGTATTTATGTACATATGTAAATATAGATATATAATTATATACTATAAATATATATTCTTATTACTATGAACATTTGGTTTCATCTATTTGATGTAAACATCTATTTCGTTAAAAACACTATTTGATTTCAAGGGAACCATTAATAAACTCAAAGCTATTTCTTTTATTTTTTGTTGGGAATACATCATAAATTCGTACTGAGTCGGAAAGTCTTTGTGTAGAATAATCGATTAGCTTATATCAATATTTTTTCTATTCAAATTCAAGCTGATTAGGTTCATTTCAAGTATTTACTTTTTTGTGTGTACAAAATTATAGAATGACGTAACTTTGTATACGTAGTATATATATTTTTTTGTCAAGTTTAAAGACATGAAATTTTGATAGCCGGGTGACTCTTCTTTCATTTAAATTTTAGTGAGGTCGATTTGATCAATTAGATCAAAAGTTATAACAAATTTAGTGAAGCGCGCTCGGGGCCACCCGTCTCATTTTTCGTACGTTAGAAAAAAATTCTACAGCCTTCAATTGGCATTTTAGAAAAAAACTTTATTATTTTTTATGTAAAATTTCCTGTTCTTTCGAATGGCGCAGTAATTTTTTTTTTAATTAAATTTTTTTATATATTTTGCAAAAACTGTAATATTGCAACTAATTTGTTAAACAAACAATTTAGCGTACACTCTACAGTTGGTAACTTTTTATATGTTGTTTCTGACAACTTTACAAAGCGAAAAATAAAAAGTTCTCTCTTCCAGTAATTTTCGCGAAGTCAAAATCTATCTTGACTCCACTAATTCTACATTCCCTTCCCTGCCATAAAATGCAAAAATTTTTTCAAAACTAACCCAACTGGTACAGTGATGAGATATTAACTTTATTCCTAGTAGAATCCAAAACAGTTTCCAACAGTCAGACGCATGCGCATATGGATATAATGCTTACATAAGTTTCAAAATTCATTGTTTTGAATCAAATGCGATTGCGTCGGACTGTTGGAAACTAATTCTAATGCACTTGGAACAAAGCTATCGTTTCCAACTTGCATGGGCATAGCTAGAGGGGGGCAGGTGTGTGCATGGCGCACCCCAGAAAGCCCGATGCCCACTCTAGAAAAAAAGATAATACTATAATATTTTTTGTTATATCGGTAAGTCGTTTTTTTTTTATATCAGTAGGTCAGCGAGAGCTTGTTTTTTCTTCCTCCATAGAGCTTCCAGCTCTGGGCCCACCTCAAGCAAAAATTGTAGCTACTCCCAAGCCAACTTGCTCAGATTTTCTAAAATCCTCGTCAAAAGACAAAGTAAATCCATGCGTATTTGGTAGCAAAGGGTAAAAACAGATTAAAAATATAGAAGCAAACTTTATTTTCCAACAATACAAACACTTTGTAGGTAGGTACAAGTAGTACAAGTTATTCAAGGGTACATTTGATCACTAACCAATCTAAATTTACTTCAAATTGTATTATTTTTCCTCGTTACGAAGCACCTATCGAACTGATATGCGACGGCTTGCTATGATTCAAGTTAAATTTACTACCGTCCAAAAGATATGTAAAAAATAATATGCTCATAAAAATAATATCACAGATATTCTCTACCAAAGTTCAAATAAATAATTGGAAAATAAAACGTTTACAAAAGGACTTTACTGTTATCTTGAATCCTTGTTGATAACAAAGCAGCCACAATCGTCAAGGATACGGTAATCACAGCGGGAAACAATAACATGGTGTGCACTAACGCACTGTAGATCGGTATGGCACAGAGGGACGCTAAATGGAACAGGCTACGCATCATACCGTGCGCAGTACACCTAAAAATAATAATTTTAGTTAATACAGAGACGTCAAGAGCAATTATTTACACCATAAAGGAGGTAAATATCATTTACCACTCCAGAACGATTTTGCGCCCGAGCGGAGCAAGGACTGGCAAAAGAGTCCGAGACTGGTAAATTATACTTAACTGATAGCTAGATGAAAGATAGAAATATAGAATAGAAATATAAATTTCAAAGAATGGCGCCAGAACAAAAATACTGGTTTTTCTGAAATGTCACAGCTAGCGTATTTCACGGAAAAGTCAAGAACTTTAAAGTCACCGGCGAGTTTGTGGAGTGAATACTCAATGATAAAGTCAACTATTTTCATAGAGGAGAACGTGGATATACCAAAATATCCCAAGCCGAGAGCATTTTTGAAACGTCAGGATAACGGCTATACCTACACCTAAAAAGTCAAAAGTTTTTACAAGAGAACAAGTCAACGATTTTCGCGTTCAGGCACCCGATAACACATATTTGCTACTGAAAATAGTGACGGTCTTAGGCATTGCAGGAGCATGTTGTTCTTATCAATTATGCAAACTTACTTTGGACAACGTCAATTTCAAAAATTTCGATGACATTATTGCAGTTACAGTTCCAGATCCTAAAAATGGTATGTAACGTACGTTTACAATTATTTCTCGTCTAGGTTCTGTTTCTCACTTAGAAATTCCCAAGAAATATATCAAGATTAGATTGGAAATGAAAACTGAAATTTCACGCTTTTTTATGCGCTATCATGCAGATAAATGTTACAACCAACCAGTCGCAGTCGGCAAGAATACCCTTTCTATGATTCCTAATAAGATTACACAGTTTTTGAAACTAGAACATCCTGAAACATATACAGGCCATTCATTCCGAAGAACATCGGCAACGTTACTGCCTAATACAGGAGTTGATATATTAGCAATCAAGAGACATGGTGGGTGGAAATCAGCCACAATTGCAGAAAGTTATGTTGCTGACAATTTAAGTAACAAAAATTAAACAGCCAACAGGATTCTTTACAATGACACTTCAACTTCAAGTTCTAGTAGTATGTCGCATCATGCTGTTTTAATTGGTCAGTCAGATAACATTGAGCCTCCGATGACTGAAATGGAGTGGTCAAATCATTTTGAGAAAAATGTGACAATTAGTAAACGCGAGGGGAATAATTATCCAGATTTTATAAATGTTACCAAATGTAATAACTGTACAATTACTATAAATATTCATTCATAAGTACATGGGGTTTTTTTGGGTCGCTGATCACGAATCCGAGGTCGGTTAAGCTCCATCACATCAGGTTCAAGGTGATTTGAAGGTCAAATCAAGATATTACCTCCAAAAAATCTGAAAAATATCTTGTTTACGTTTTAGAGGTCACCGAACCCGAATCCGTGGTTTGTTTACCCCTACGATACACCCTAAAGGTCATTCAAGGTCATTGCAAGGCCATTTATGAAGTATTTTGGATAGAAAAGTTAAAATCAGTACGTATAAATCAATTTTTTATTATTATAGTTTGATTCTTTGTTGTTTATAATATTGATTTCACTGATGTTCAAGAAAAAAAGCAATATCTTACACAAAAAGTTAAAATGTTAATCAATTTCTATAAATTTAGAGTAATTTTTCTCAAAAAAACTCATGAGGGATCTCTTAGGAAATTTTTACAGAAAAGATTTAAAAAAAGTTTCCATTTTGGACAATTTTTATAGGCTCTAGGCGTTGGGACTATCAACTACAAAAGGCCCCAGTATGAGGCGGACTACAGAGCGTTCGAACATTGAAGCGAAACAGCTGATTTCCCCAATCGTGTTAACAAAAATAGTGTCTACTAGCAACTAATATCAGTTCAGAGTGACTCGAGTTGCTATTAGATGCTAACAGCTACAATTTTTCCCAAATCCAAAGGCCCCCAGGTAAATTAAAAGCAGTTAAGACATAAGTGTCCCCAACTGCGGCAATAAAAATGATTAGTGAATATCGCTTAAGCAGCGAATGACACACATTTAACAATTCTGGAACTCTCCATACAAGAATGTACTGCTCTAAAACAACTCTTACCTTAGATGACAAGGGTACCCTTCGACCACCACCAAAGTTATGGCGTTGACTGCGCACATCAGCAATATCTTTATTACTAGTTCAACCGTAGTTACGATGAACGACGTGGAAGCGAAAAATATACCAGCGCCAGTAATCGCCGCTAAAACTAAAGTGACGATTATAACTGGCGGTCTGGTGGTGGTTTCCAGAATGAATCCCATGAAGAAGAGAGCGGGAAACATGAATCCGGACCAAGCCAGAGTCTCGTCGTACAAGTCCTCCAAGTATATATTGTAATCAAAGTCTACGGTGCAGTCTGATATTAGTGAGAGATATGTGTTGTTTATCAAAGTGCAGTTGATATAGTGGTGATCTGTTAGGTCAGTATCGATAAATCTGAAAAAAAAAAAGAATCGCCGAAGGTATTCGAATGAAGACAACAACCAGACACTCACCTGCAATCCTTTATTATAGAACTTTTAAAGTAGGAGACGGAAGCTTTGACGCTGATGAATTCTGATTCCTCGATGGTGCAGTTCAGGAAGTCGACGTGGTTAAGGTTGATATGTGTGAAGGTGACGTTCCTGAAAACTGTGTTCTGGTACTGAACGTTCTCTATTGTTTTGTTGATTGTAACACCGTAATAGTCTACGTTGTTGATGTATTGCCGGTGTAGGTAATACTCTTGTTCTCTGAGGTCCTTAATGATGGTAGTTGAGAACGTGGACACACCCATGTACAGGAATCCCAACAGCAGGTGCAGAGTGGCTAAGAGAAGAGTTGTGCGGAAATGCGTTGGGGAGGATACCCGTTGAAATGCCTCACGAAACTAAAATGATAACAGAGAATTTATAATTTAAATCTATTAAGCCGTTCTCTTAGTATAGACCGATCAAAATAACTCATTTAGAGGGAAACAAAAGAAAATAGTTACCTGGACTTTTGTAAATGGAAATGGTAAAGGGGCTTATAATAAACGAAAAAAAAAAAAAAATAAATAAATGCGTGAGCAGGGACGAAGTAGGGTTGATTTGGGAGGTGGAAAAGTTATGAAAAATTGTATCATTGGGATTTCTGGCGAAAGTTGACATCAAACAAAAAAGTATCCAATACAATAGTTGTAGATCATGCAAAAATCTACAACTTTTGTAGAGGTCACTTTTTAACATAACCTCAAAATTTCCGAGAAATATGCGAAAATCAGTTTTTTTCTGATTTTTTGTTTTTTATTTCTCATTGCCGCAAAAATAATTTAATTTTGACGAAACTTGGTGAAAGTATACCTTTCTCTGTCTTAAATAACCTCAAATTTTTTTAGAAAAAAAAATCAAGACGTTTCTGAGATATTCATTTTTTCGGAATGAAACACTTTTTTTCAAAGAAAAATTCTACTTAAAAAAATCATCGTACAGAGTTCTGCCGGGAATCATTTATTTCGTTTTGACATATACTTTTTGGTAAAATAAAAATATCTGTAATTACAGTTTAAAAACATGCTCAAAAATGCAAAAAAGTAAAAAATGACTTGCAGCAATGAATTTTTCAGTAATTGTTGATAATTTGTTTAAATTTTAAAAAATCAAAAACTGATTACACCATTCAATTGTACGGAAAAAATACAAAAAAAAACATGTCTCATTGTTTTAAATATCTGTAATTACAGTTTAAAAACATGCTCAAAAATGCAAAAAAGTAAAAAATGACGCAGCAATGAATTTTTCAGTAATTGTTGATAATTTGTTTAAAATTTAAAAAATCAAAAACTGATTACACCATTCAATTGTACGGAAAAAATACAAAAAAAAACATGTCTCATTGTTTTAAATATCTGTAATTACAGTTTAAAAACATGCTCAAAAATGCAAAAAAGTAAAAAATGACGCAGCAATGAATTTTTCAGTAATTGTTGATAATTTGTTTAAAATTTAAAAAATCAAAAACTGATTACACCATTCAATTGTACGGAAAAAATACAAAAAAAAACATGTCTCATTGTTTNCCATTATATCCATCTTTCTCTATCGCACGGATTTCTATGGCTTTCTTTATCGCTCTCACGTAACGGCCGATGAACCATGGGGACTTTCCGACCCTGTATTTACGTGGTCACTTTTTTCGCTCTATCCAATGACATCAACATTTTTGCAATCTGACGTTTCGTCTTCGAGGACCATCATCAGGTTAATTTTTTTAAATACGTCGCTATTATTTTTATGATTAAATCTAGTCATTTTTAATTCTGAATTTGATTATTTTACTATTGTATTCGCTTAAAAAGGTTTTCAGCTTGTTTTACGTACCATTTAAATTTTTTCCTGAGTACGGCTCTGAAGGCTTTCAGAATATCTATTGGAGGAAGTCATAACAGTATAAAAGTCAATACAGCACAAAATGTCCAACAATTTTTTTTATTACTCTTAGCAATTAGAAATAATAAAATATTTCATAAATTCGTATTATTTTTTTATTAGGTATAACTTTTTAAATTATGGATTAAAAAAATTGTTGGATATTTTGTGCTGTGTTGACTTTTATTCTCTCCTCTCTCTCTCTCTTCTCCAATAGATACAAGTATCTTGAAAGCGTTCAGAGCCGTAGGTACTCAGGAAAAATTTTTAATGATGCAATCTTTTTAAGTTATTACAATAATAATATCATCTAATACAGAATTAAAAATGACTAGATTTTATCATAAAAATAGCAGCGATATATTTAAAAAATTTATCTGATGATGGACCCTCGAAAAAAGTGGCAATGTATATATACAATTATTTTAAAATTCGTTTTCAAATAAAGCCATAAAAAATAAAACAATTTTGCAATTTTTTTTTCGATTTCGCGTCAACAGTAGACTGCAGTTAATACTTCGTATTGCAGAAATCTCAAATTGTCCAGTGATAATTTATCATTTGAGCATTTGTAATTCGCCTTAGATGTTTATAGCAATACTGTACAAAAATAAAGTTTTGGGTCAAACTATGAGACACAGTTTTTTTAATTTTTTTCCGTAGAATTGAATGGTGTAATCAGTTTTTGAATGTTTTTTAATTTAAACAAATTATCAACAATTACTGAAATATTCATTACTGTAATTTTTTTACTTTTTTGCATTTTTGAGCATGTTTTTGAACTGTGATTACAAATTTTTTTATTTAACCAAAAAGTATATGTTAAAACGGAAAAAATGATTATCGTCAGAACTCTGTACAACGATTTTTTCAAGTAGAATTTTTCTTTGAGAAAAAAGTGTCTCGGGCCGAAAAAAATAAATATCTCAGAAACTTCTTTATTTTTTTATCTAAAAAAAATGAAGTTATTTAAGACAGAGAAAGGGATACTTTCACAAAGTTTCGTCAAAATTAAATTATTTTTGCGGAAATGAGAAATAAAAATCGAAAAATCAGAAAAAAAACAATTTTTTCTTCTTCTCATCTTGAATTTTGCAAAATTCACCTCGGATCTGTGATCAGCGACCCCGAAAACGCCCGTATTTCAAATTTAGCGCGAATGGGTTAGTTTTTGAAAATTTGGTCGGCCATTTTGGATCCGCCATCTCGAGTTTTGTAAAATTGACCTCGGATCCGTGATCAGCGACCCCGAAAACCCCTGTATACCAAATTTAGCGCGAATCTGTTATTTTTTGAAAATTCGTAATATCTGACCTGTTCTTTTTGAGGTTAGAAAAAGAACCAACAATTCTGACCACGGATTTACGTTCGGCGGGGTCGTAACCATATAAATGAACATTTGAATATAGAAGAAAAATTTTTTTGTATTTTTCCTAGCACTTTTTCGTAAATTTTTGCTATTTTTGACCTGTTTTTTGAGGTTAGGAAATTCTCGTGATGTGATAGCTCAATTCTAACACAGTATTTGTGATCAGGAGGCAAAAATACTACGGATAACATATATCGCATGAAAAGTACAATTTTTTTTTGTGGCTGTGTAATCAAAGCTATGTTTTCAATTTTTGTTTGAATTTCCAAAATTGAATAAGGTGGTCGACGCCAAAATGGTGGATTGACTTCACAGAATTTCATGAAGTAACATAAGATTTTTGAGATCGTTTAATACAAACTAAAACACAGACTGCTATTATGTGATCTGAGAGATCAGTTATGACCGATTTTGATGAGATCCCGTCAACTTTTTGTAATAGTTTTGTTGATTAGCCACGTTGTTGGTCACAATTTTCCATTATTACAAATCAATATTTAACTACCACTGTCAGACTAACAGCAAATGATGACTAATGACGTATTGGTTGTTTTGTTTTCAAGTTTGCCAGCAATTTCACAGCCATCATCCCAAGAAACTGGATCATTTCAATTATCACGAAAACAGTCAAGAATTATTATAACGAGCGTTCAAATCACATACTTCTATCCTATACTGATCATTTTGCAATTGACTTGAAGCCGAAAAGTGGGGCGACGTACCAGCGTATTCATACGCATGCGTTTACTTTACGCGTTTTGGTTGGTTGAAAGGAACCAAGAACGGTGAGTGCCGAGCGGTAAAAATGTCAAACGTCAAACCAAGCTAACCTAAAAAGTATTAATATTCTCAGTTTTGTTTTGTGTTGTGCTAGTCTAGTGTTTTGATGAAACTGTTAGGGTATAGTGTATATTTTAATAAATAAATAAATAAATGTATCTTTTCAGTTTTATTTCATAATCTATTTAAACCTGCACTAATGCTTCTATTAATTTATCTTGTGTTGATATTTAGTAAAAATGTTTCAAAATTATACTCGATAAGAGCCTTCCTTAATCGTGATGGACATTATTATCGGATTGATCTTTTACAGATATTTTATAGCATGTTTTTTTTATATTATCAAATAAACTGCAGAAACCACTATAATAAATAATTATATAATGAACTTTTTTTATAAAAAAAAGATTGTCAGTTGTGCCCGGCTTGAGCGAATAGTGGCGATTTTTTGAAATACTAAGTCTTGTTTAATAAATAAACCAGTCATTTAAAAAATGTCCAAAATTACGAACATGCATATGTATATAGTTTTAAAAGCATATAAATTTGTATTCTGTTTTATTGTATTTGAGCCTGCAAAATATTAAATAGGTTATGCAGATACTTACGTTATTTATTTTAATATCTTATATGTATATAATCGGCTATAGTACAGAGCATGCCGTGACAATCTTTTCAATTTGAATGCAACCGCGCCTAATTATGGAACATGCGCAAAACACACGGAGTACGTCTCGCCCCCCCTTTTTGGAAACAAGGTCATCCATTGAAACTATAGGTAATGATCAGTATAGGATAGAAGTATGTG